ACATTTTACATGTCTCTATTTAGTAATTATCAAACTATATGGCAACTTATCTATTTTATTCATCTTTGTATCTCCCAACAGTACCAAAACAACGCCGGCCACACTGTGTGCGCTCAGTAAGTGTTGAGGAGTAACGGGGTTGTCCCTCTCACCTTATTGTGAGCATCTGTATGCCGGATGACATTCCTTAGGAGGACTTTCCCCAGTGGAACCCGGGACATTCTTCAATCTGAAATGAATCAATAAATATTTAAAAATAAAAATTCCCTTTATGACCTTATATTTTTATTATAATACTATAAAGAAGCATGAGGTAAAGAAAAGATCACTTAGAACTCAGAAGTCTTGGGTAATAGTTTTTTCTTCAGCATCAAAAGGGGGAAATTCCTGATCACAGAAATATGAGGATGAAAGGAGATAGTGCACAATGGAATTCTTTGGAATGACACTATTTTCTCCTCAAAATAACTCTGTGTTGTATGTGAGTATCTTCATTCCTAATTAGTAGGTAAAATTCCCTTAAAGCCGTAACTTATCTCAGGCCACACAGTCCAAGGCAAACAAGGTCCAGATTAAAAATCAACTCTCCAATCTCACAGTTAGTTGGCGATGAAGCAATTATCTGGATGTGAGAGTATCGGGGGCCACAAATGTCAACAGTAACAAAAACATCAAATACAGAGACGCCCTAAATTTCTCCACTCGGGGGAAGTTTACTTTCTATTTTGTAGAGAAGCCTCCAAAAAAAACAGACGACAGGGCTATTCCCTGTGTGGCTAGCAGGGGCTTTGTGCGACCACCCCACCGCTCACTCACCCCTCGATCCTGAGGAAATCGGGCATCTTGTTAGTGTGAGACGAAGAACCACTCCATTACAAGATCTCCTCCGACCCAGGCGGCCCAGGAGTCAGGGCTCAAAGGCAGCTCTGCAGCTTCACCCGAGTCCTTGGTGAAAACGCAGCCTTCCCACCGGTTATTCTGCCCTCGCCCGCGCCCCGGGCCCCGGGGCCTTTCGCTCGGGCCGGACGCACGTCAAGTACCCTAGCTTGCAGAAGAGATTCCCCAGTGAGGCTAACATATTCCACGCTCACACTCCTAGGGGGTGGGCCCGGGGACGGGGTCTCGCTCCCAAAGGGGTACGCTGTGGACTGGGCCCCAAGAAGTATCTAAAGTGCCTCAAGGGGGAGCTGAGGCTTCCAAGGGGAAGACAGAGAAAACACCCCCATCTTTGTCACCGGGACCCCCGCTCCCCAGCGGCCAAGAAGCTCCCGGTAACCTTCCCTCCACACACCCGCCCCACACAAACACACACAAACACACCCATACCGTGCACCGCGGCCTCGCGTGGCGGGGGTGGGGGGAGGAAGAGGACTGGGAGAAAAGGGAGCGAGCTTCCCGTTCAGGCCGGAAGTCGTGCTCCCGGGAAATCCTTCCCACCCACAGGAGCTCGGAGACGTCCACAGGGAGGGTTTCCAGGCCTCTCAAGAGGTCGACCGGTGCCGCAGGGTGGCGGGCGCCTTCCTGGGGAAGGGGTTCAGGCTCCGCTGGGAAGCGAGGCCCGCGGCGCAGTGGGGAGACTCCGGAACTGGAAGTGGCAGGACCTTCTCACGAGAGCAATCCGGACCCAATTAGGTGCTACCCAGTCTGGTTACCCTGGTAACAGGCGTCGCGGTTTGTCAAGAAACCGAGAGGTGGGTTCGCAGACCTCTGGAATGGTTGCCCATTAGTTAAGTTTCCCTTTAGTCTCACCCTAATGTAGTGTTCGAAGAACCCAAACCTCCTCCTCCTCACTCGGTGGGTGCTCTGGGGCTCCTTCCAGTTGGGGGAGGAAGATGCGAGGGAACTTGTCTCAAGACAGAGAGGATATTATTACTGTCACATAGCGCTGACCGAGTGTTCCAGCCTCTCTACATTAGCTTCCTTAATCCTCACCGTAACCCCAGGAGATTGGTGCTATCGTCTTCATCTTGAGAATAAACTGAGGCACAGACATACATTAATTGCTCATGGTCACACAGCCAGTAAGTGAGAGAGCTAAGATTGGAATCTAGGCAGAGTCCATGCCTTTTTTTTTTAATGTTTTTATTGATTTCAGAGAGACAGGAAGGAGGAGGGAGGGAGAGAACCATCGACGTGAGAGAGAAATATTTATCAGCCGCCCCCTGCATGTGTACTGACGGAGAATCGAACCTGCAACCTTTTGGTTTTTTGAGGGTTTTTTAAAAATATATTTTTATTGATTTCAGAGGGGACGGGAGGATAGAAACATCAATTATGAGAGAGAATCATCGGATCAAGCCAGCAACCCGGGCATGTGCCCTTTGACTGGAACCCAACCTGAGACCCTTGAGTCCACAGGCCGAGGCTCTATCCACTGAGCCAACCCAGCTAGGGCCCTGCAACCTTTTGGTGCCTGGGACACCACTCAACCAACTGACGCACACCAGCCAGGGCAAGTCCATGCTTTTAACTACTAAGCTATGCTGAGGATTGAGGAAGTCTGGCAATTTCCAGACTGGTTCCGGCACCAGTCAGCCAAAGCCCAGGTGCTGGAAAAAGGAAACTACCTAGACGCACAGACTTCAATGAGTACTCTGGCCCCTCAGGGCTTGTGAGGGTCTAGGGGAGGTAAGGCCTTATGATCTGAGAGGACAGCTTGAGATAAATTCTAAAAAGTGATACTAGATAATTCAAGAATAAGGAAAAGATAAAGTGGTGCTGATCCTTGGTGTTTTAGGAACAGTTAAGGATAACAGCTAACTCCACCAAAACAATTCCTGACCTGCTCCTCCTCTCCCAAAAGAAGAAATGAATCAACAGCTACACAGATTATTTTTACTTAAGTCATGTCTTTCCTCAGACTTAAGAGGCCTATTCACCTCAATCATGGAGTCATCCTCAAACGGTCTGCTTACCCAAGTTACTCAGTTCTGGAACCTACTAGATGATCTGGCTGAAAGTAACCCTGAGAGCTACAAGAACTTCATTCAACAGCAGCTGAAAGAGGGCAAACAGCTTTGTGCTGCCCCAGAACCACAGCTCTGTCTACAAACAAGAATCCTGGTACGTAGAGTTGGTGCCCTTGGATGGGAGGTCCTGAGTGAAATGATCCTGCAATAACCAGAGAATAACTTGCCTTTAGCTATTGTTACTGTAACACTGAGGGAAACTGCCACTCTAAATGGAACGTGAAATGTAGTGCAGAAGATTGCACTGAAGGAGTAAAAATGGGAAGTTCATATTTTACATATTTTGGAGATCTCAAAATGAGCCATTTTTTGGCTAGAATGAAAATAAAAGTAATGTAATGATTTAATACAGAATCATAGAATTGGAGATTTTCCAAATAAAGAGAACTTATTTGGTTGGGTGGGGGAGTAAGAAAGTGGTGAAAAATGGTCAAAAATAAAAAATGGAACAGCTGCTTAGATCAATTCCCCCTACCTCCTCCTAGTTCCTCTGGGAGTAGCAACTGGATTCCTGATGAAGAGCTTTGGGAAAATCAGGTAACAGTATAATTTCTCAAACACAGTTTTAATACAAGTAATAACTTACTTGGAGCCTAAAATTCTTACTCTTCAAATTCTGTGAGGTGTTGCTTTTAGGAAATTATTTTGAAATATATTTGATATGCAAAATTATTTGATTTCTAGAAACCTAAAGAAAAAACACTTTTTATCAACCTATGTCAATGGAAAAGGATTCCAGCTCCCCAATCACTCACTCATCCAGTACCTCTGAGTGTTGGCAGACCAGAAGATATGTCTGAAACATCAGGTACATAGAATTATGGGACAGAAAACACATTTAAAAAATTTTATTGGGTCCTAACTGGTTTGGCTCAGTGGATAGAGCATCGGCCTGTGGACTCAAGGGTCCCTGTTCGATTCCGGTCAAGGGCATGTACCTTGGTTGCGGGCACATCCCCGGTGGGGAGTGTGCAGGAGGCAGCTGATCGATGTTTCTAACTCTCTATCCCTCTCCCTTCCTCTCTGTAAAAAAATCAATAAAATATATTTTTTAAAAAAATTTTATTGGGAATAGCATGAACCAGATTTTACTTGGTAAAAGACAATACATGTAAAATATTTTATTTGGTTATAATGTAGCTAATGACTAATAAATATACCTTTATATAAAATGAATACTGTTGCCCGGCCAGCATAGCTCAGTGGTTGAGCATTGACCTATGAACCAGGAGGTCACGGTTCCATTCCTGGTCAGGGCACATGGGTTGCAGGCTCAATCCCCAGTGTGGGGCGTAAAGGAGGCAGCTGATCAATGATTCTCTCTCATCTCTGATGTTTATATCTGTCTCTCCCACTTCCTTCCTCTTTGAAATCAATAAAAATATATTTAGAAAAAAACAAAGCTACTCATTTAAAAAGTTTTTATTACTGTTTGCCTAATAATATAAACTGTTTTTAACCCATATAAAATGCCAAGAAATGCCCTCATTGAAATTGTGTACATAGCATCTTTATGATTGCTTCTGAAAAATATAGGAATAGGATTTATACTTTCTAGGTTTATCAGGATTATGGCTTAATATATTACCTGACAATATCATTAGGGAAACAGGTTGTCTTCATTTCACACCCTCTGAATCTCATGCACAAATATTTATCTTTTTTTCTTTTCTTTTTTACACACGCAGATGTTTACACAGTCATCGATGTTGCCTACAATCCTGATGTTCTCCAGGCAGCAGAAAAGGACCAAGTGAAAAAAGATCAGTTAGTACAGATGGCCATGAAATGCATTGAGGAACAACTCCAGGTCACTCTCTCACACGTTTACCATATTACCAAATTTAAAATAAAAGGAAGCATTCAAAGGATGAAACAAAACCTGATGGGAATCCAAACTGGCCCCACAGATTTAAAAGAGAAAATGAGAAAAGGTAAGTTAATGAATGTAAATGGAAAATTATATTGGTTTAAAATTTTTGTATCCTGTGTGCATTTTGCAAACTGGAAATCTCAATTTTAAAAGATGAATAACTTAAAATAGAAAAAGATAAAGATTAGATATTAGAAATATTAGCATGTCCTTAAAGATTTTTAAATCCTGCAAACTTTTAAATCTTTTTGGTTTAAGATTCTTTTAAGATTCCCAAACTCAATTAGCTGCAGCTTTATCTGCCATCTTGCCTAGCACTACATATATTGCAGCTAGTAGCCTGATAGTACTGATAGTTGTTTATGTTGTTGATTAATTTTGTGATTTTATTCCCCCCTTTTTTTTCCATAAAGAACTAACCCTTGAGCAGATAAGAAGCAGTACTCTGAGCAATTCAGATCACTTCCCTCAACTTTTACTGCCAAAAGACCAAGTTTCAAGCAAAAAGGGGTGCCTGATAGAAGAGATTTCCAGTACAGAGATCCAGGTGGAGATGAAGACACCAGCCTATGAATTAAAAATTGTGGCAGATCAGAATGAGAAACCACTGAAAATTGAATTAAAAGTTGAATTACCTGGTATTAATTCAGTATCTCTCTGTGACCTTAGTGTTTCTGAGGTAAGTTGAATAGATAACTATTGTAAATTTTTATCAGTCAAGTCACTATGTTATGCTGTAGTAACTAACTCCACAATCTCAGTAACTTACAGTAATTTGCTCAGGTTACATGTCAGGTAGGCCTACTCTGCTCAACAACCTTTTTTTTGTTGTGGTTAATCCTCACCCAAGGATATTTTCCATTGATTTTTTAGAGAGAGTGAAAAGGAGGGGGGAGAGAGGGAGAAACATTGATGTAAGAGAGACACATTGATTGGTTGCCTCCGCATGCGCCCTGACCAGGGCTGGGGATGGAGCCTGCAACAGCAGTAGGTGCCCTTAACCAGAATCGAACCTGGGATCGTTCAGTCCGAGGGCTAATGCTCTATCCCAACCGTGGGCAAACTACAGCCCGTCGGCCAGATCCGGCCCGTTTGAAATTAATAAAACTAAAAAAAAAAAAAAAAAAAGACCGTACCCTTTTATGTAATGATGTTTACTTTGAATTTATAGTAGTTCACACAAACACTCCATCCATGCTTTTGTTCCGGCCCTCCGGTCCAGTTTAAGAACCCATTGTGGCCCTCGAGTCAAAAAGTTTGCCCACCCCTGCTCTATCCACTGAGTGAAACTGGCTAGGGCTCTGCTTGATAGATCTTACACATTTTAAGATATAAATGAAGAAGCAATTCCTATCTGACCTATTTCATTCTCCTGGCAGAGGAAAATAGAAATGGCCAAACCATGCAATGGATCCTAAAACTTCCTCTCAGACATGGTATATATCACTTTTATTCACATCCTATTGGCTAAAGTAAGTCATTAGGCCAAGTCCTACATTGATAGGGCAGGGAAGACTATTCTCAAGAGTTGTCACAGGGATATACATATAATCCTCTTTCAGAGTTCAAATAATTGGCAACAATCCTATAGTCTACCACAGTCCACTCACTTCCTCACAAATATGTGTATCTTTTTCCAAGAAAGACACCTCTAATTTTAGTATCAGACTCCAAGGTACAGGATTTTGCCATCGTAGTCTGCATTTTGCGCCTCTTGAACCAGACCTATGAATTGCAAGCACAAGTTATCTGTTCCCATAATCCCATACAAAGTTAAATAGGGAGAAGATAGCCACTATTAACAGTCTCAATTCAGAAATGGTAAAAATATGAGGCCCACAGCAGTTACTGGTACACAGCAATGCTGACATCCTGGTAGACAGGTATTTTGAGGGTCTCTTTTCCTGCATGTAGAGGATGTTCTCGCTTTAGGGCCATTATGGATACCTGTATTGCCTAGCCCCGTGGTCGGCAAACTGCGGCTCGCAACCCACATGTGGCTCTTTGGCCCCTTGAGTGTGGCTCTTCCTAAGCCTTAGGAGTACCCTAATTAATAACAATGTACCTACCTATATAATTTGTTTAAAAAATTTGGCTCTCAAAAGAAATTTCAACCATTGTACTGTTGATATTTGGCTCTGCTGACTAATGAGTTTGCCGACCACTGGCCTAGCCCCATTGTTTCCCATTACCTTCAGTTCCATTGTTTGGGAGGTTCATGTAGAATGGGCAATGTAGACAGAATATGCCGTCCTTAGATGCTGAGCAATTTACTCAGCCTGCTTCACACCCATAGAATGTTTGGGGTCCAAAGATTATTTTTAATTAATTTTAGTCCAGGTTGGTAATATTTTATTTAATTCCACTCAGTGCTATACCCAACAAGTCTTTTTTAGACATGTCCATTTTCCAATGGCTTGTCCTTTTTTACGTAATAGCTGTCATTTGAGTCAAATGTAAGGATTTATTGAGATCCACCTTAACCCAGGTAGAAATTTTAACAAAAGTATAAAGATTTGTGATTTAGTCTTTAACTCTAGGCGTCTTAATCAGCCTTCATTGGTAAAAATAATAATAATAACCTCAATTTTATCCTTTACTGGTTGAAAAAAAATTATTTGCATTTCTGTCAAGGCTCTGTATATTCCCTTTCAACTCTGCAAACTGGTAAATTCTAGTCTTAAGTTCATCTCTTTTTGTCATACCTTGTTAAACGTAGCCCATAAAACCAATGCATGCCACCAAAATTTTATTTTACTTCTTTACCTAAAGCCACAAATTTACTAGGTAATTTGTCTTCCAAATTACTGTGATAGTTTTACTAAGGGCTTTATCACTATAAAACATGGGTCAGCCATCTTTCCAGTCTCCAGTAAGTTTCCTTGCTGTTTGCTTGTCTGCCCCAAGGTAAATTCATGTAATTTGGGATGACAACACCCATCTTCTGCTACTGCTCAGTTAACTTTTGATGTATTCGACAGCAATAACAAATCTCAAAAGCTCAGGGATTTACAACAGTAACGTTATTGCCCACTGCAAGTTAATGGCAATAAGTTGGGATCCTCTTCTTATGGAAAAGGAGTAAATAATGGAGAACAGAAATCCAACAACACTCATTTTAACCAGGAAATGCTTTCCTATTTTTATCTTTTAACATCTCTCTTGGTTTATTATTCTTAGAATGATTTATTGATTGAGGTCTCTGAGAAGTACAGATTGCATCTGAATCTTCCAGAATCTGTGGATACTGAAATGACTACAGCAAAATTTATCAAAGAGAAAGCTACATTGATCATCACAATGCCATTGGTGTAAGTCAAGAGCATTATTTGTTTTGGGTTTTCAGTGCTAAAGTGATGTGAATTATAGGACCTTCATTATGGGTGAATCTTAAACACTAGTTTCCCGTTTTCTAAGAGTTCCTTTTAATGGAATGAGGTTTTCTCAACTGTTCTTTAAAAAAAACACACCTCAGTTTCTCCTTTTCAAAAAAACTTGGCATCAAGCAACAATTACTAAAAATAGTATTGCCATGATATACTTTTTTTTTGAAGATATCTTAAGTAATACCATTTGGGAAAATTTTGTTTCCAAGTAACATGTGAGAATTCTGTTTACTGGTTGGAAAAAAAAAAATTGTCTCTAGTAAATTTTTGCATCAGAAACAAAACCCAGACTGTGCATGTTTTTATTATCAAGAGGGATATAGTAGTAAAGTTTCCTCCAGCAATAACGATACAAGGCCAATGTAAGAATATGCAAACCTATGGTTCTGTGAACCTCTGTACTTCCATAAAACAGCTCTAGCAGGAATCCACGCTACCCAGGCAGGACTTTTAATAGCACATACGGACTTTCCTTTGGATTAGTAATTGGATGTTATTGCACATAAGATGCAAAATACATCCAACTCTATTTTAAAAAAAAGGACAAGTGTCTTTGGGACAAGTGCCATTCTCCTAAGAAAATAACTTTTAAAAACTTGGTTTTTATTGATTTCAGAGAGGAAGGGAGAGCATTATCAGTGAGAATCATTGTTTGGCTACCTCCTCCATGCCCCCTACTGGGGATCGAGCCCAGAAACCTGGGAATGTTACCTGACCAGGAATCGAAACTGACCTCCTAGTTCATGGGCTGATACTCAACCACTGAGCCATACCAGCCAGGCCTAAGAAATTAACTTTTAAAAATACAGAGGTGATATACTTTTCAACTCCCATTCATCTAAGTTGTAAGATAGTTGTTCAATACAAATGTATCAACTTTCCAATTTATATCCAAAGCAATGCTCACATCAAACTATAAACATCCCTTAATTATCTTTTCTAGATACAACTTCCTTGTGATTAGTTTCTAGTTCAACAGTCTTTTTTTGTTGTTGCAAGTCCTCACCCCAGGAATTTTTTTCATTGATTTTGAGAGAATGGAAGGGAGGGGGAGAGACAAACATCAATGTCACATAGATTGGTTGCCTCCCCCACATGGCCCCAGGAATCAAGTCTGCAATTGAGATACGCACCCTTGACTGGAATCAAATGGGCACCCTTCAGACTGCAGGCTGATGCTCTATCCACTGAGCCAAACTAGCCAGGGCTCAATATAAAGTCTTTAAATAAATTCTTTATTAATTTTAAAACTTTTTAACTTTAGAAACTGCTATAGTTGTACTATAAATAATAGATGTTACATTTAAAAACATAATTTTCTTTTTTTAATATATTTTTATTGATTTCAGAAAAGAAGAGAGATAGAAACATCAATGATGAGAATCATTGCTCGGCCGCCTTCTGCATGCCCCCTACCAGGGGCTCCAGCCCACAGCAAGCCAGGCAATGTGCCCTTGATTGGAATCAAACCGCAGACCCTTCAGTTCACAGGCCAACGCTCTAGCCACTGAACCAAACCAGCTAGGGCAAAACATAATTTTCTTAAACCTAACCTGGATTTGAATCCTTCTAGCAATATGATAATTTATCATCTAAAAATGTTCTAGAATTGTATGATGTCCTAAAATCCCATAACCACATAGAACTAGTTGAATCTCTATTCTTGTACTCTCGGCACATACTTATGTCAGCAGCTATGTATTTGTGTACTCACTAATAAAATGCATGTCAAGATCTAACACACTTGAAAAAGAAGGAATTCTTACCATTTGCAACAGCATGGATGGAACTGGAGAGCAGTATGCTAAGTGAAATAAGCCAGTCAATGAAAGAAAAATACCACATGATCTCACTTATTTATGGATAATAAAGACCATTATAAACTGATGAACAAAAATAGATACAGAGGCCCTGACTGGTTTGGCCCAGTGGATAGAGCATCGGCCTGCGGACTGAGGGGTCCCGGGTTCAATTCCAGTCAAGGGCATGTGCCTTGGTTGCGGGCACATTCCCAGTAGGGGGTGTGCGGGAGGCAGCTGATCGATGCATCGATGTTTCTGGCTTTCTGTCCCTCTCCCTTCCTCTCTGTAAAAAACCAATAAAATATATTTTTTAAAAAAGATAGAGTAGCATTGAACAGACTGTCAAACTACAGCAGGAAGGCCGGGGAGGGTTGGGCGGGTAAGAGATCAACCAAAGGACTTGTATGCATGCATATATGCATAACCAATGGACACAAGACACTGGGGGGTAGGGAGGCCAGGGGAAGGTCAAGCAGGGGGGGAAAAAAGGAGACATATGTACTACTCTTTGTAATATTTTAAGCAATAAAACAAAACTTCAAGTTAAAAGAAAAAAGATCTAACACACTTAATGTTTAAATGTTTATGTCCTAGTTATCCCAAAATATTTTCACACATTATTTCAGGGTGTTCCACTTAATCACACTACTGGTCAGGCCTTCAAGGGATTTTATATTCATGAAAACATCACCTCCTTCTCCTCCCTGCAAAAAGGCAAAACTTGGCCCAGGAAGAGCATTAACTTAAAATTAACTGTGGAGTTTGAATTTGAATCTTGCCAAAATGTTTTTTTCCTCAAAACTGGAAATTATTCAAGGTGGACGTTAATTAGCCTTGTTTAGAGACTAGATTTTTCTATAAACTTGGTTTTGGTTCAACTATCAGTAGTGATCATTTCCCATGTATTCCAGGGCTTCTGCACAGGTGATGAGTATTCCTTGCAACACATTCCTATCATGTCAACCCCCCTCGTAGACAATGCCCTGAGACACCATAACTACATTCACACAAACCTCAGGATTGGAGTTAAGTATCTAACAGAGCCAGACCACACTTTCATCTTGCTATGTGCCATATCCCAACATGAGGTCTTCAGTAACTCCTTGAGCTTAAAGTATTAGATTAAACCCTTCTGAACTGAGTCCTGATTTTATCCATTTTATAAAATCAAAATGTATCTGTATTAAGAGCTTATAGCTGTCCCTGCACTTAACCACTTAATGTGAAAATCAATTACCTACAGGTCAAAAATTAGATCAGACACATTGAAAACATAATTTCACTTTTAAACAATCTAATTTGAACCAAACCGCTATTTCTAACTTTTACTCTTTCAATTTTGGTAAGATAAATAGACTGAATCCAGATTTAGATTACAGGCCAGATTAATTTTTAATTCAGAACAATTTTTATTAGAAGGCAACTTTTAATTTTTTCTTTAAAGGGAACAAAAGAGCCATAAACATTAGCAAATAATGAATTATCTCTGAAGTTTCATGTGTTTGAACCAGATGTGGCTCATACTGATGATGGTCCCTGTGAGACGCTTGTTCCTTCTGCATAATCTTCAGTTCAAGCTATAATTACCAATTACTGTATAATGTTTTTATAACTGTACAAGGGAAATATTTATGGAATATATGGAGTGTCACTGTGCACCATGTAATAATGAACATTTAGAAATAGATTCAACAATGAAAGACCTAAATTTCAGAGGATAGCTCCACATACTACATACAAGGAAGCACTAGTCAGATTAATTTTAAATAGTCAAACAATTTCAAATATTTATTAAAGCACATCAATTCAATAGAAAGCCTGGAATTGTGATAATGTTCCCAATTCATTTTTATTATCTTGAACCTCACCCCAGTCCCTGCTCAGAAGGCAAAATGGGAAAAAATATTTAGGTCGATAAGGTAGTATGCAACCTAAATAATTCTTTTCTCTCCAATAGGATTTTAGGGCTTTTTTTTATTTTACATGAGTCAACACGGGTGGAAAAACAAAGGACACTGTAACACACATTTAAGTTTTTCCTTTTTCCAAACAGAAATGACCATTTTGTTGTGGTCATCATCTTTTATATCCTAAACTGTTCACCAATGTATCTCTCTCCCTCTTCAGACAGAACTTGTTGATATACATACGGACTTTGGCACATATCTTGCTAGAAATCATATGTTATATATGTATACGTATTCCAGTTTCCCAAAGTTATCTGAGTAGTAAATTCTGGTAATTAAGTTCATTTGCAAGTAACCTCCAGTTGATATTGTAGGAAAAATTCTACTTTCACAACTTCTCTGTAAAATTCTATAAGCATATTCTTTTATTTGGAGGTAACTGTAGAATTTTGCTCAGAATTATACATTTAAATTGTTTAAACACCCACACAAATTCTCATTTATGCCAAGCAGCTGGTTTATATTTCTATCTCATCTCAAGAAGGGGGAACAACCTTTTCAGGATACATAAAAAAAAAAACAAAGAACAGTGGTTGAAGAAATCTAAGAAAATGTTGACTTTTAAATTTTCACTTATTTTCTTTGAAGTTTTCTACTTTTCCCATCCATGATAAAACCAAGATCATATAACAGAAAAATTTTAATTAGGGTTAAGTTAAAACATCACACTTCGATTCAAACCTTTTCTCCAAGAGAATAAATTTTCCTGATTTCTCTTTTCTTCAAATATAAGGAAAACATTTGAGGCAATTAAATCTCAACTTCTCATGGTTTCATCCAGGTTACCTGAATATACCTGACTCAATAGGGAACCACATTCTACCTCTACATTTCCCAGTGGAAGTACTTATCACCAAAGGGCTATGCCGCATGTCCCTTGCCTACAAGTACACAGCTTAAAAGCTGGTATTTACTAAATGTACACAATATTTGGGTGTAACTGGCATTTTAAAAGATAACATAATGACCATTACAAATAACTTAACTGGACAGACTAAAAAATAACTGGTTAGCTTTAAAATAATAAGAAACACCTATTTAATAACATATTTATATCTTGATAAGAATGAACCAATGTAACTTGGGAAAGTCTGTAGAAATTCTTGGGTTAATTATAACAACATGGTGATAGGTTTTTCAAGGTACTTTCTAAACTCAGCAAGCCACTGGGCTCCAACTGCTCCATCCACAACCCGATGATCACAACTGAGTGTAACAGACATCATGCTAGCCACATCAAATCTAGAAAAAGATAAAAATATTATTAGGTATTCTAGAAGCAATAACTGATTGTAGCCAGTAACCTGACCCTATAATCCCAATCAGGTAACATTATTTTCAACCTACTGTTCACGTCCTATATATTTCCAGACCAAACAGCTTGAAGAAACAGACCAAACAGCCATCTGGAGCATGGACTGGCAAACTAAAACCCCACAGGCCAAATCCCACCAAATGGAGTTTATAGGAATTCATTTACATAGTACCTATGGCTGCTTTCACACTACAGTGGCAGAGTTCTTGCAACAGAGACCATATGACCCACAAAGCCTAAATTATTTACTATATGCCTCTTCAAGAAAAAAGCATGGTGACCCCTAACTTATTTACTTAGAGTAAATAAGGCTTCCCATCTCAAAAAAGATTAACTGCATTTAGTAAAATAAGAAGAGTTGCTGCCCTGAGAAACTTCATTCTGTACTTATGTCTGACTCTACCTAAAGTCCAATAAGGCATGCCAATAAGTCTAAAACTAGACTCAAAAACAGGTATAATGTAATGAAAATGGCCTTATAGATCCCTCTCCATTTTGGCACTTACCCTTTTTCATTATCTGCTGGAACCAGTCTATCTTCTGAAGCACCAATGGCCAAAATACATGCCTGAGGTGGGTTAATAATAGCAGAGAAGTTCTTAATTCCAAACATTCCTAAATTGGAGATCGTAAAAGTGCCACCCTAGAGGAAAAAAATATCATGTTAATTGCTTGTCAACATAAAAAAAAAGGACATTTTGTGAAAAATCCTTAAGGTAATCTTTTAAGAAAACCTTCTGAACTACCATTAAAAAAAAGAAGAAAATAGAAGTATATAAAGTGACAGACATTAACTAACTTGACTGTGGTGATCATTTCATAATATATGTATATGTCAAAACATTAAGTTGCACACCTTAAATATATATAATTCCTCTTTGCTAATTATGTCATTAAAACTAAAAGGGGAAAAAAAAAGGCCCAAATGAAATACTCTTACTTAAAATATACACTCTTTACATTAACAATAAAAGTAGTTGTGTGGTTTTTGTACACTACTTGGAAAACATTATTTTTAGCCTTTGAAAGGTTACTCAATTTTTCTTTATTTTTAGGACCTTGTGTCAGTGAGAATACAAGGCAGGAAAAAAAGGTGGAAAATGCAATAAAAACATAATGCTGACCTTAAAAATAACTTAATTCTTAACATTCGTAAGGAAAATAAATAACACTTTACCTGGAATTCATGTGGCTGTAGTTTACCCTCTCGTGCTTTGGTTGCTAAAGAAGCAACATCATTAGCAATGGTTTCCAGCCCCTTTATATGTGCATTAAATACAATAGGTGTGATGAGTCCTGCAGGAGTACTGACTGCAACACTGATATCGACAACATGATTTCTATTTAAAAAGGAAAAAGAAAATCTCAATGATCATCACCATTGTTTATTAAGAGCTTCTGTATCAGGCTAAGCAAGATTATTGATATTTACTTCAGTTTGTACTACTGTTCAGCCAGATTTTTACATTCTGCTGTCTACTCCGCCCCCCCCACCGGCCACTTATACTTTTAATGTGTCAGTAGGTTGGTTTCACATGTATTCTCTAACTTTCTCATTTGCCTCAACTAACACATGGGTGTAGTTGGAGAAGACTTAGCATTCAGTGAGGAATTAAAAAAACACACAAAAAAAACTCCTTGGATTCTGAGACCAAGTGGATTGGCTGGAGTTGAGTCTGCAAGCAGAGCTTGAGCAAATGAAAGGAAGAATGAAGGGAAAGGACCTCATTGTGGGAGAAAGAGGAGTGTTCAGGATGTAGGGTGGTGGTGCATCAAACCACGAGATTCCCAATCTTTTCTACTCCATGAGCATCTCTGCAATTGGGTCTCATCTCAGAATACATATATATTTTTAACAAAGAAAGTAAAATAAGTCACCAAAAAAACTAAACAAATGAATAAACCCCAATAACCCCCCCATAAGTGTATTTAAATTTAGTTATCTAATTATTCAAAAAACAAAATTTGATATATATGCTATTATATTAACTCATTAACAAGATGTTGCAGCAGGTCTAATAATGGCTATAATTTTAAAGTAGTGATAAGCAAAACAGTATTTTAACACACCTGCAACAACTATAGGCTGTGACATGAAAATAACTGAGTTTTACTGATCACCAGCACAGGTATTATCAACGCCTCTTTGATTTGTTTTCTACATGTTTAACAGGAGGAAACAATAAATTTCAGTTACAGGTGAGTGGAAAAGAATGATTCTTTGTCTCATCCAAGTTCTCTAACTCCTGGATTATATCTATACTAGTAGTATCCTTGGGTGTCAGTGAAAGGGTCCCTGATAAAGTGTTCTGCAATCGAGAAAAGTTAAACTTCACATGAAGGAAAACTCCAGCTCATTCTAGGCACAAAGTTGAGAAGATTATGGGTACCAAATCCCACAAAGGGCCTAAGCTGCCAGAGGCAGCAGGCTTTTGCCATCTGGAAAAAGAGACCCACTCTAATAATAGTTTGTGGCTTTTAGCAGTTGTAGCTGGGCTCTGTCCAAGATATCACACAGCAAATACTGCTTTCTTAATTATCCTGTTATTACAATATTACTTATTTATAATCGTCCTAAGAGAGGACGGATGGTGTTTCCTATTTTGTTTACCACTGAATCAAGCAAACAGTACCTGTTCAGTAAGTACTTATTGAATAGCTGTATGAACAAATGAATGAATAGTATTTGGTAAGAATTAATTAACAATACTGAGAAACAGCCCTGCAACCTCAATCCTTTGATCTAAGCAGTGGCTCCTTCAGATATTCTTTAAAGGTTAAATATAAATTTACCCTATGACCCAACAATTCCACTTTGAGGAATCTACCAAAGAAAAATGAAAACATATCAACACAAATTGTATGCAGATGTTCATAGCAGCCCCCTCAAAGAGATGTCTGTGTTTTGACCCTGGAATCTACCAATGTGACCTATTCAGTAAAAAGGTCTTTGTAGGTGTAAATAGGATCTTGAGCTCATATCATCCTGGATTATCTGGGTGGACCCTAAATCCAATGCCAAGTCTCCTTGTAAGAAACAGAAGGGAATGGCCTGGGGACTGAAGGATCCCGGGTTGGATTCCGGTCAAGGGCATGTACCTTGGTTGCGGGCACATCCCCAGAAGGGGGTGTGCAGGAAGCACCTGATCAATGTTTCTCTCTCATCGATGTTATTAACTCTCTATTCCTCTCCCTTCCTCTCTGTAAAAAAAAAAAAAAAGAAAAGAAAAAAGAAAGAAAAGAAACAGAAGGGAAGACACAAACAGAGAAGACCATGTGAAAATGTAGCCAGAGGTAAGAATTATGCAGCCACAAGCCAAGGAATGCCTAGAGCCACCAGACTTGGAAAAAGCAAGAACAGATTCTCGCCTACAGCCTGTGGAGGGAGCAGAGCGCTGCTAACTTCTTGATTTCAGACTTCTGGCTTTCAGAACTCATAATAAATTTTTGCTTTAAGTGACCAATTTTGTGTAATTTGTAATGGCAGCCCTAGGAAACTAGTATAGTGTGTAAGGAATAGTAAGACCCTCAGATGTTCTCCAAGAATGGTGTGACCAAGGAGAAAGTCAGAGTCAGTAGATAACCTGATGTTTGATAGGACTGAAAAATGGTTTAGAGTTCTCTTGGGGAGTTTCAGAAAGAATTCATGATGCGTACACAGAACACTAGCCAGCTGGTAAGCAATCTTTAAAAGCAGTTAGGAGACTGGGGAGCCTTTTTTCAGGCTGACTGGTCATAGAGTAGAAAAGCAGAGATCCCCCAACCCTGGCTTCTGTTCACACAGCTCCAGTTCACTCTGCCCTCCCTCTGCTGGAGCCCAAGGCTATGCAACTATATAATGAAGGTATCTCAGAGAACCCAAAGCAAGAGAATGAGTGTTTTAAGCTGCCATTAATTCTGAAGCAGCAACTTGGGATTTTAGATTAAAAGAATACTTTGAGGCACATGCAGAAGTGAAAAGACAACCAAGAGCGTCCACCTCAGGTGACTGGGGAGGCTGAGCCACTGGGCCCTATACGACACCTAGCACACAAAGCCACTCTATTAACACAGGGAAGCAGCTAAAATGCGAAGACAAAGAAACATGTCACAAATGAAAGAAATGGAGGAAAGCAAACTACTGGATATAGAGTTCAAAACAAGGGTTATAAGATTACTCAAGAATCTTCTAGAAACCTCTGAGAAATTTAGTGAGACCTTCAAGGATATGAAAAAGGACCAATTAGAAATTAAGCATACACTGACTGAAATAAAGAATAATATACAGAGATCCAACAGCAGTCTAGAGGATCCCAAGAATCAAGTCAAAGATTTGAAATATGAAGAAGCAAAAAACACCTAACCGGAAAAGCAAAAAGAATCCAAAAATATGAAGATAGTGTAAGGAGTTCTGGGACAACTTCAAGCATACCAACATCCGGATTATGGGGGTGCCAGAAGAAGAGAGAGAGCAAGATATTGAAAACCTATTTGAAGAAATAATGACAGAAAACTTCCCCTACCTGGTGAAAGAAATAGACTTACAAGTCCAGGAAGCGCAGAGAACCCCAAACAAAAGGAATCCAAAGAGGACCACACCAAGACACATCATAATTAAAATGCCAAGAGCAAAAGACAAAGAGAGAATCTTAAAAGCAGCAAGAGAAAAACAGTTACCTACAAGGGAGTACCCATACGACTGTCAGCTGATGTCTCAACAGAAACTATGCAGGCCATAAGGGAGTGGCAAGAAATATTCAAAGTGATGAATAGCAAGAACCTACAACCAAGATTACTTTATCCAGCAAAGCTATCAGTCAGAAGTGAAGGTCAGATAAAGAGCTTCACAGATAAGAAAAAGCTAAAGGAGTTCATCACCACCAAACCAGTATTATATGAAATGCTGAAAGGTATTCTTTAAGAAGAGGAAGAAGAAGAAAAAGGTAAAGATAAAAAATTATGAACAACAAAATGACAACAAATACATATCTATCAACAAGTGAATCTAAAAATCAAGTGAATAAAAATATGATGAACAGGATAAACTGGTGAATATAATAGAATCAGGGGCATAGAAAGGGAGTGGACTGACAATTCTCGGGGGGAAGGTGGTGTGGGGGGTGTGGGAAGAGACTGGACAAAAATTGAACACCTATGGACAAGGACAATGGGGGGGAAGGGCATGGGGTGGGGTGGGAACCGGGTGGAGGGGAGCTATGGGGAGAAAAAAGAGGGACAACTGTAATAATCTGAACAATAAAGACTTATTAAAAAAAAAAAAGCAGTCCTGGCTCCACCAGGCAACTTTGTGCTGCTTTAATAATTCAGGATAGTTTCTGCATGAGATGCCCACAGATTCAGAGTCTGGTAGGAGAAATGATGAGGCTCGACCATGTTGGGGATGCTGTAAATGTGAGTTGGTGTGTGGCCACCAGGGATCACCAGACCCAGGAAGTGGCAGCTGTACAGGCTCTGTGATTTTTCAACGTTACAGCTTTAGAGAGCAAGGAAGTAAAAAAAAAAAAAAAAAAACGAGAAGGTGCAAACATTAAAAAAACAAACAGTTAGGTGTTAGGCCAGTGGTCGGCAAACTCATTAGTCAACAGAGCCAAATATCAACAGTACAACGATTAAAATTTCTTTTGAGAGCCAAAATTTTTAAACTTAAACTATATAGGTAAGTACACTGTCAAAATGGCTACCATCAACAAATCAACAAATGACAAGTGTTGGTGAAGATGTGGAGAAAAGGGAACCCTAGTGCACAGCTGGTGGGAATGCAGCCTAATGCAGCCATTATGGAAAAACAGTATGGAGTTTCCTCAAAAAATTAAATATGGAACTGCCATTTGACCCAGTGAGCCCATTTCTAGAAATATATCCTAAGAAACCTAAAACACCACTCAGAAAGAATATAGGCACCTCTATATTCATAGCAGCACAATTTATAACAGCTAAGATTTGGAAACAGCCAAGTGCCCATCAGTAGATGAGTGGATAAAAAAAAGCTGTGATACAGCCCTAGCCAGTCTGGCTCAGTGGACAGAGTATCGGCCTGTGGACTGAATGGTCCTGGGTTCAATTCTGGTCAAGGGCACATGCCCAGGTTGTGGGCTTGATCCCCAGAAGGGGACATGCAGGAGGCGGCCAATCAATGATTCTCTCTGATCATTGATGTTTCTCTCCTCTTCCTTCCTCTCAGAAATCAATTTAAAAAATAATAAAAAGCTGTGGGACATTTGCACCTTTTGAGACAGCATGGAGGGACCTGGAGAGTATAATGATAAGTGAAATACCAGGAAGTCAGTCAGAGAAAGACAAGTAGGTCTCACTCCTATGTGGAATCTAATTAACAAAATAAACTGATGAACAGAGAGGATCCAGTGACATGGAAGCATAGGACAGAATGCAGAATCTCAGAGGGGAGGCAGGGAAGGGTGGGTGGGTGGGTGGGACCTGTATGTACTAGTATATGCATAACCCATGGACACAGACATTTAGGTGGTGAAAGCCTGGGGTGTGTGTGTGGGGGGGGGGGGGGGGAATAGATAGCTGGAGGTGGTTAATGGTAGAAGAAAGAGGACATGTAATACTTTTAACAAGATTAAAAAATAAATTAATGGGGGAAAAATATCCTCGGGTGAGGATTATAAATAAAATAAAAGCAGTTAGGTTAGTATTCAAAGCATACTAAACATTTTAGTCATAAACAAAATTTGTGCTATAATTTATTTTGTAAGATGATGGGTGGGTGGGAGTGTTTAGGGAGGGTACAATAAATTAAATCTTAATTCTTCTTTAATAGGAAATCATTCAGTAAAGTAAAAGAAATGAAAAAAAAATCCACTATGAAGGTAAATACCAAAAGAAATAATAGTTTAAAATCTGTGTTTGCCTCTTGGGATTGGACTTCAGATTAAAGGCTGAGCAGGTCCCTGTAAGCCATGCAGCAATATTTTAACATATATACTATTATTTTAATAAAAATTAAATTAATAATATTTAAAAGCCTACATAATAGGAAAAGCCTAGGCTTTGAAGTCAGAATCCTGGTTTCTGATCACAGTTCTATTAACATATTAACTCAGGGATAGTTATTTAACTCACTAAGCCTCAGTTTCTTCGTCTAGAAAATGGGAGTGAAGCACCTAGCTCATAAGGTGGTCATAGGATTAAATGAGACAATATGTGAAAGACACGGTGCCACCACTAGTCACATGTCACCATAACATTAATAAAACTGTTTTTTGGTTTGTTTTCAAATTTGTCCCCCCTCTAAAGTTCAGCAGAACTAGTGAACAAAAAAATATATCACTTTCCTTTGTAAGAATCATTATCAACTTAACTGTACATATATATACACTCATCTCCCTTTATTGAGCTCATACAAAGAATCTGTAGTCTTTACTATGTAAACTTAGAACTATCTCATAAATAGTTCTATGCCGTTTACAAATTGTTTTACTATGGCAGTTATAGTCCTCTCTGTATTCCATTTCTCCTTACCCTACACTCCTAGGTATACATTAGATAACACAACAAAACTGCTGATGGATACACCTTCCCCAGCAGTGTTATACTTACTGTCTTATAACTGTGTCCAGCCAAGACGAATTTGCTTCAGGAACTTTTAAACATGCCAAAGCTGAAGCTTTTATGAGGAAGTCATTGACAGAAATTTTGCTTTTCCCTTCTAACATCTGCAAAGACAAGAAACCATTGTTTTTTAAATTATCTTCCCAAATACTGAAATTATATAATCTTGGGAAAGGAGATGGCGAGAGGGATTTACAAATGTTCTGAAGGGGAAAGGATGAAAAAATATACTCAGGTGAGGATTAAAAAAATAATCCTACATAATAAAAGGCCAATATGCTAATCAACCAAATGGGACGACCGGTTGCTATGACACACACTGACCACCAGGGGGTAGATGCTCAATGCAGGAGCTGCCCCCTGGTGGTCAGTGTGCTCCCACAGGGGGAGTGTCGCTCAGCTGGAAGCTGGGCTCATGGCTGGCGAGCACAGCAGCAGTGGCTGGAGCGCCTCCCGCTTCCGCAGCAATGCTAAGGATGTCCGACTGCTGGCTTAGACCCTTGGAGAGCAGACCTAAGCAGTCAGTCCGACATCCCCTGAGGGCTCCCAGACTGCGAGAGGGCACAGGCCAGGCTGAGGGACCCCCTACCCCGAGTGCACAAATTCATGCACCGGGCCTCTAGTAATGATAATAAACAAACAAACAAACAAATAAGATTATTCACCATGACATAATTGGATTTGTTCCAGGAATGCAAGGTTGCTTTAACATTATTACATTAATGTAATAATGTCTTAATAGGATATAGGACAAAAACCATATGACCATTTAAGAGACACAGAAAAGCATTTGACAAAATTCAACAATTCTTCATGATAAGAACATTCAACAAACCAGAAACAGAAAGTAACTTCTTGATGATAACAGATCTACAAAAACTCCACAATCATCATCATATTTCACTGGGGAAAGACTTATTTCCCCCTAAGATCAAGAATAAGACAAGGTGTCCACTCTTGCCGCTTCTATTCAACATTGCACTAGATGTGCAAGCCAGAGAAGTGAGATAGTAAAAGGAAATAAAAGGCGTCCAGATTAGAAAGGAAAAAGCAAAATTATCTTTATTTGCAGATGACATGACTTTGTATATAGAAAATCCCAAGAAACAAACTAAAAACCAATGTTGTAAGATACAAGATCAATATACAAAAGTCAATTTGTATTTCTATACAATAGTAACAAACTATCTGAAAATAAAATTTATAACAGTATTAAAAAGAAAATACCTAGGAAAAAATTTAACAAAAGAAGTGCAAAAACTTGTACTCTAAAACTACAAAAATCATTGAAATTGAAGAACTAAATAAATGAAAAGACATCCTGTGCTCATCTTAATATCCCTAACCCTTATAGGAAATATCCAGAATAGGCAAATCTATAAGACGGAAAGTAGATTAGTGGCGGTTTAGGGCTGCGGTTATAGCTGGAAGGTGTATGGTTTCATTTTG